TAATACAATACCACTCTGATATGAAAGTTAACTTTTGTTTAAAAGCACACATTTTATAATACCAGATGTTGACATGACAGTGATAACACTAGGAACAATGAAGGAATATGTGAAATCTGTGTACATTTTTGTACACCCTCATTTCTTTCCATGTAATTTCTTCAAGTAAGTGGTCAGAGGAATGTAAGATAACTGGTATAACCTTATTTTGAAAGCATTCAGATTCATAATTAAGTTTCACACCTGCAAACACACTTGAATTATGTAAACACTGTGGTTCTGTTAATTTTCCGCTAAAAAATCTTGATAATTTAATTTTTGTAATTTTTTTGTTATTTTTATACGACTTCAGAAAATTTTGCAGTCGTATGTTGGCATCACGTCGTTGTTTTTTCGTCTTCGTCAGCGTTGTCCAAAGACATTTGGTTTCCGGACATTAACTTTAGTATAAGTAAATAGAAATCTATGAAATTTAAACACAAGGTTTATAACCACAAAAGGAAGGTTGGGATTGATTTTGGGGGTTATAGTCTTAACAGTTTAGGAATTAGGGGCCAAAAAGGGGCCCAAATAAGCATTTTTCTAGTTTCCAGACAATAACTTGTGGAACGGTGTATGGACCTCTCTGAAATTATGCCACAAGTTTCCATACCACAAAGGGATGGTTAGGATTGGCTTTGGGGGTAATGGCTCAAACCGTTTAGGAATTAGGGGCAAAAAAGGGGGAAAAACAAGGGTTTCCTTGTTACTGTACAATTACTTTTAAGTACAATGTTTTGTGTTTGGATTACCTCCCTTACACTGCTTTTAAATTATGTATAAAGAAATGTTGTATTGTCTTGAGGTGATTAGCTGTCAATTTATTTTTAGAAGTTACTATTAAAACTGCTGATTAAGGAATATTAATTTTAAACATGATTATGTATGTCATTTTCTATTTTAAGACTATTGTAATGTATTTAAATGGGTAGTTATGGTTGCAAACTCCATTGGAAATTTGAATTGAGATATTGAATTTTTTTTTTTTGGAAAAAGGGGGGGGGGGGGGGGGGGGGCATTTTTTTTTCTCATTTCAGATTCCTGAAATTAAAAAGAAAATTTCTTCAAATATTTTTTTTTTTTGCAATAAAAAAGGGGGGTAAATTTTTTATTTTTTTTTGGGGGGAGGGGTATAATTCGCAACAGCATAGTGTATTGCACAAAAGCAAAAAATTGAATATAAATTCAAATCATATAACCAATTCTAAGTTCTTTGACTACAGTTATTCTGTGTCAGAAACCTATTATGTGTCAAATATTTAAATACAATCCAAATTCAGACCTGTATCAAGCGTGAATATTGTGTCCATTTTTGCCCCAACTGTTCAGGGTTGGACCTCTGCGGTCGTATCCAGCTGCGCTCGGCGAAGCAATTTATTTGCTATTGTTATACGACCGCAAAAAATTGCATAATGCTATCAAGTATTACTATTCATGTATGGTGAACAGGTAAATCTTACCTGTCAGACAACCAGTTAACCTTGATAGTAATAGCTATTTAGGTGAGGGGTTTTTAATTGGGCGCAGGGCATTTGCGCTTTATGATAAGGTACTTATGCTAATTTTAATGGACATTTGCATTTAAATTTTTAGGACATTTGCGCTTTATCAACATAACAGTTCAGTTATCATGATTAAAAGTTTAAAAAATCATTTAATATAAAAATCACGATTCGTTCATTTATGTATATACAGCTAAAAATCCACTGTGCTTGTGTCAGATGAAAACAACAACACTTCAAGAGGGTGGATGGAAGTAAATTTCTTTATAACAATTATGACTCTTTCTAAAAGTCAACATTGACAGCAGGTTGTTTAAAAATCAAATTTCAGTCTTCACAAATTGAAACAAGCTTAGATAAACCATGATGGTACAGTTCCTCGGACTATCCATGCAATAGAATGGACACACGAGGAATACAGTTTCTGATTTTAATCCACAAATTGTATAAAGCTGCTTGTAGAATTTAAGGCAAAATTTAAATGTTCCATCCATAAATGTTTTGTTTTCTCTATCATTTACCTGAATGATTTTGTTCTGATTTTTAGCTCATCTGGCCCTTTAAGTGAGCTTTTCTCATCACTTGGCATCCATCGTCTGTCGTCCGTCCTCATCGTCTGTTGTTGTCCATCCTCGTCCATTAACTGTTACAAAAATCTTCTCCTCTGAAACTACTGGACCAAATTTAACCAACTTGGCCACAATCATCATTGGGGTATCTAGTTTAAAAAATGTGGCCGATGACCCCGCCTACCAACCAAGATGGCCAACATGGCTAAAAAAAGAACATAGGTGTAAAATGCAAGTTTTGTCTATTATTTTGAAAACTGTTAAATATAGAGAAAATCTGACAGGGCCAGAAATGTTCAGGATGTTGAGCTCTACCAATTGTTCATGTACGTTAAAACTGTCAATGGACTTCCTATAGGAGTTATTGCCCTTAAATGACAAATTTTACCATTTTTTTTTTATTTTTGCCTATTTCCAGGAAAACTAAAATACATACAGAGTAACTTTGAAGTGCAAAAATGATCAGCAAGACAAGATCTACATTATGTCTGCATTGTCAATTTGTCAGTTGACTCCTTAATAGAGTTATTGCCCTTTGATGACGATTTTTTTCCGTTTTTTTGCGTTTTTCCTTTTACCTTAATATTTATAATAGATGGATAGAAACTGAAATAAGCAAGAATAAGCAGCAAGACAAGATCTACAATTAAGACACTACGGAGGATGACTCCTTATTGATTTATTGCCCTTTAATGACTATTTTTACCAATTTTTTTTTTGCGTTTTGCCTTATATGATAAAAATTAAAATAGCTAAATAGAAATTTAAATTGGAAAAATGATTAGCAAGGCAAGATTTACAAACAAGTCAAATTTTGCTGATTTAGTTAGTAGACTGTCACTCTTTATAGGAGTGATTGCCCTTAAATGAGGATTTTTTTTTAACCTCTTTTGTGTTTTGAGCAAAAACTAAAGAAGATAGAGAGAAACTAAACAGGCACAAGCTCAGCAATAGAAAATCAACAAAAAAGAGAATTTTGTCATGAATTCTTTTCTCGTCTACAATGTTGGAGAGTGTCCTTTGTTGAATATGCACGTAGACCTAGGTGAGCAACACAGGTTCTTTAGAGCGTCTCGGTTTGTTTCTTTGGAAGAACTTTCCAAGAATATGTGAACATCTTTCCACGACACGTAGACCTAGGTGAGCAACACAGGTTCTTTAGAGCGTCTCGGTTTGTTTCTTTGGAAGAACTTTCCAAGAATATGTGAACATCTTTCCACGACTTTGATAAATCTAGTTAAGATTACAGGTAATCTATCAAATTTAAAAGCGCAAATGTCTGGTCAATTTACATGTAGTTCAGGTGTAGCAAATGTCCTTTTGTGTCACAGGTAAAAAAGCACAACTGTCCTGCGCCCATTTAATTAAGACTTGTTATCACCGACACTATCCCTATGTCTGTATGTCCACATGTTAAATTCTTACCGTATTTTTATGAAATTTTATATTAAACTCATTTGAAAATCTGTGTTGATTAACTATTTTTTAAGGAGAAATGCCCCTTCGGAATTATACTGTGAATTCATTATTATTTGTTGGATACCATTTTTCATGGGAACAGGCAAACCACGAATTTAAATGTTCAACAAAGTACAAATTTTCTATAGGCTTGTGTGCAGACATTGGTAAAACCATGAAATCAAATATCCATGAAAATACAAATTTTCCTCAATCCATGAGAATTGGAACCCACGAAAATAAATGAATCCACATTATGGAAAATCCCTGTGTAATTGCTCTCAAACCTACTTTTTTTTTTAATTCAGAATTATGGGACTTTAAACAGTCATATTTAAGACAATACGTACTTCCCTACAAATATTCTCATGCAAGTTTTCTACAGAGCCATTTATTTGATGCTTTTAAATTTTCCTTATTCTCCTAACTATTTCAATTTGAACAAAACAGGCATATTATGCACTCTTGGCACAGATATTTTTCACCTACCGTATATTGTAGGTATCTTTTATACTGACATTTACTTTTTTGAATTGCATTTTGACCATACCATATATTTTTTCAACTAATTACCTCAGAGGGCTTCTGGTAGCATGCTTGCCCTGAGTGCAGGAAGTCATGGGTTTAATTTCACATAGGTCACAAATATGCTTTACCTTATAAGATGGAATCGGGGTGTCAGTCTAGCACAAAGCAGGTGTTTATATTCATATGACATTTTATACATGTTATTTTCCTGAATATGCATGTAATATTTGCCAATGGACAAAAGTCACAAAACACCATTATTCAAACATTTTAAACTAATGACACCGTTGACATGGTTGCTGAAGAATGAATTTGAAGTCGCATCCCCTTGGTTGGACCCATAAATATTTAAAAAAGTTATAATCTGATAATCACTGAAGAAGTTTCTGAGATCTGTCTTTTTTTAAAAACCATAATGAACTGTATTAAACCTGATATTTAAACAAAGAGTTTAACTCGAAATGAAAAAACACTATCATATCATTCAAAGCATTTTTAGTTTTCATTCAAATTGGAGAGGATTTTTTTCATTGATGATTTTATGTTGAAAAGTGGATATAATTAAATGCAACCTAATTTTGCATAGCTTTATGGTTTTAGAGTGATAAATTGCACTTTTTCATGGTACATACTCACTAAATAGAGTTTGAATACTTCGTCTAATTAAATGGGATTTTTTGATAGATTTCTTTTGATGAAAGCTTTCAGGAACATGGCAACAGATTTCGTTTATATCTTAAAAAAAATGAATTGTCAAACTTTAAATAAAAATACCAGCCACAACTAAAAGAATTCTTACTGAATTAGAAATGTCATTGAATTGTAAAAATAATTTGACCTGAAACTTATCTATGATTCAGTATTGATATTGAAAGACTACTAATTCTCAAGTTATACTTTTCAGTGAAATGGATGAAGAAACAGCAATTCAAGAAGACCAGGTAAGAGAGATGAACAAAAATTTTGTAATTTATATATTTTTATAGACCTACTAGTTTCTTTAAATTCCTATCATTACATGCACAGGGATTGCATTAAATTAATGCAACATTATTGTTTGTTGTTAAAGATTAAAAGTAATAGATTAGTGGATTAATTGAGTTTACAGGGTATATTATAGCTTGGAATTTTACATGAGGACTATTTTATCCTAAAGGCTTTCACAATACCAATTGCTTAAATATTTTACCAAATTGCAGTTTGAATTTATCTACAAACAGATCAACTGCTTTGTTTTTGGAATAATCAGAGACAATATGATGTACAGGTATATGAAAATACATGTACTATATGTAATGGAAAATGGAATAGTATTCTCTTAATAGGGAATTGACCTTCCTTTGTAACTTTTCTGAATACCATTTGTTTCTAAAATAAGTCATGCTTTGCTAACCTTAGTTTCAGTTTGATAATAAGAAAAGGAAGTAACATTTCGCCTTACATAATGGCTAATCTTAGATGATATCTGCCAAAATAATCTGCATGGCTACGAGTAACACTGTTTTTAGTCCCCTACCGACAAAGTCGAAGGGGATTAAGGTTTGCACTCTGTCCATCTGTCTGTCTGTCTGTCCGTCTGTCCATCCATCAGTCCGGCAAATCAGTTTTCCACACTTTTTTTCTTTGTGCATGAAGATATTTATTTGATATTTGGTATATACTTTTATCATGACCAGTTACAGATCGAGTTTGAAATTTGTTCCGGTCTGATGATTTTGTGTAGAGAAATGGTCCTTGGACTTCGAAAATTCATGCAAGTAATAAGTTTTCTGCACTTTTTTTCGTCATGCATAAAGATATTGATTTGATATTTGGTATATAGTTTGACCATGACAAGTTACAGATCAAGTTTGAATTTTATTCCGGTCTAATGATTTTGTGCAGAGTTATGGTCCTTGGACTTAGAAAATTCATGCAAATAATCAGTTTTCCGCACTTTTTTGTCTTGCCTTGACGGAGTCAAAAAGCGAGACAAATGTATGCTGTTTCCGGCAACAGCAGCAGCGGCGTCAACAATGTATTAGTTTGTGATTAGGTCTAGTTCATGGTGAAGCACTAGTGGTAGGTCAATGATATTTGGTATGCGGTTGTATTAGCATTGGCACATCTCATTACCATGGAGATTATTTGGCCCCATCCCCTCAGTCAAGGTCTATTGACTTTGAAACTTTGCTTAGTTTACATGTATTAGTTTGTGATTAGGTCAGTTTATGGGGAACCACTAGTGGTAGGTCAATGATATTTGGTATGCAGTTGTATTAGCATTGGCACATCTCATTACCATGGAGATTATTTGGCCCCACCCCCTCAGTCAAGGTCTATTGACTTTGAAACTTTGCTTAGTTTACATGTATTAGTTTGTGATTAGGTCAGTTTATGGGGAACCACTAGTGGTAGGTCAATGATATTTGGTATGCAGTTGTATTAGCATTGGCATATCTCATTTCCATGGAGATTATTTGGCCCCGCCCCCTCAGTCATGGTGTATTGACTTTGAAACTTTGCTTAGTTTACATGTATTAGTTTGTGATTAGGTCAGTTTATGGGGAACCACTAGTGGTAGGTCAATGATATTTGGTATGCAGTTGTATTAGCATTGGCATATCTCATTTCCATGGAGATTATTTGGCCCCGCCCCCTCAGTCATGGTCTATTGACTTTAAAACTTTTGCTTAGTTTACATGTATTAGTTTGTGATTAGGTCAGTTTAAGGGGAACCGTTAGTTTTAGGTCAATGATAATTGGTATGCAGTTGTAGAAGCATTAGCACATCTTATTTCCATGGAAAATATTTGGTCCTTACTTCTCAGTCATGGTCTATTGACTTTGAAACTTTTGCTTAGTTTACATGTATTAGTTTGTGATTAGGTCAGTTTAAGATGAACCACTAATGTTAAGTCAATGATATTCGGTATGCAAATGTATTGGCATTTGCAAGTTTCATTTCCATGGAGATTATATAACCCCACCCCCTAATTATGGTTCATTGACCTTGAAACTTTTACATAGTTTACAAGTTAATGTTTGTGTTTAGGTTTGTTTAAAGGGAATGACTTATGAAAAGTCAATGGTATTTGGTTTTCAGTTGTATTAGCATTGGCACATCTCATTTCCATGGAGACTGTTTAGCCCTGTACATTCAGTCATGGTTCATTGACTTTGAATATTTGCATAACTTACATGTTAAAGTATTGTAATTTTAATTTCAACACTTGCATTATCAAAATAACAAATAGGCGAGACATATCTCTGTGTTAACAGTTTATTTTTGTTATGCTTGAAGATATTGATTTGATATTTGATATATAGTTTAACCATGACAAGTTACAGATCAAGTTCAAATTTTGTTTGGCTCGAAAGATTATTTTGCAGAGTTATGGTCCTTGGACTTAGAAAATTCATGCAAATAATCAGTTTTCCATCCTTTTTATCGTCATGCTCGAAGATATTGATTTGATATTTCTTATATAGTTTACACCATGACAAGTTATAGATCAAGTTAGCATTGTGTTCCAGTACAACGAATTTTTAACCGGTAGGGGACTATGTAAAAAAAAGGTCAAATCTTCACCAGTGTTTTCTAGAAAATCTACAATGTACAGGATTTATTTCCATTTTGTTACTTCACAAATCTTGGCTTTCTTCTTGCTTCATAATTAAATATAACTGTGTGCATATGGTTATCCATGTATTAATCTCATTTTATCAAGCATGATATTACTAGAAATAATTGCCTTTTTGAATACAAAGGATCAAATAGATTATAGTTTGTAATATATTCTAGTGGAAATTGAGATCACGAAGGATGTCTTTTGAAATTATGTTAAGGTCAGCTATTAGTTGTTTTAAGGTTGGTGAGAAGTTTTTGTTAGTCTTTTTAGTAGACAAAGGTTTGAAACCAATTTTAGTGTGCATAATACATGTTTCTTGAAGAACGTGTTTGACATGTCTAGATACAGTTTGACTCTGTCATTCTGTCTGTCCATCCTAAAGACCTTGGGTTGAAAACTTTCGTCAAACTTTTCTTGGCTTTTATGAAAGGAAATTATTTTATATTTGGTCTGCTGTTTGAAAGTATTGAGCTGTAGCGTGTAAGCAATTTTTACATCTGCTGTGCAGTATCTTTTGTTTGCAAATAGGTTGAAATTTTACAACACTCATTGTACTAGGAAATTTTCGTCAATTTTATTTTGCTTCAATGAAAGGGAATGATCATTTATGTTTCAATATACATGTTACCTTAATCAATTGCATGCAGATTGGCAGGTCCAGACCTGATTGGTCTTGTTAAAAAATTTATTCAGTATGTTGTAGTGTGAATCAACCATGAAAAGTTTTGATACTTTACAATTTATTCCCTCTAAAATTCAAATTTACAGATTCAACCATTAATCAAATGAATATAGAATGAAAATGTTAGTCCCATGATTCTATTATGATGACTTTTATATCGTCAACCAGTATAACCAGTATATATCTACCTTTAGGGCAAACGCATTGATACACAAAATTGGCTGTTCTGCCTTACGCCCACCTTATTTATACAACCAGGTAAGCTCAATTTGAAACAGTAAAACCAACGTTTTACGTAGGCCCAGCTTCAAATACAATACGGTTATCTCTATTCTAATTGTCTAATATAAAAATAAACAAATCCGTCCATTTCAGTTATCTTTTCGATGTAAATTTTCATAAAATGAAAAAACTCTGTGAAATGATGTAATTGTCTTTGGCAACTAAACAAGGTGACTTCATTTGTATGCTTCCAGCGTCAAATGTAAACACCGGGCGTTTTCAGGCTTCTTGTACGGCTCAGAATGTAATAAAAATTAGATAAAAGATTTTTTTTAGGTGAAAAATGTGAGTTTTTATTGTATATTGGTATCACGTTGTCATCGTCGTCCGAAGACATTTGGTTTCCGGACAATAACTTTAGTATAAGTAAATAAAAAATCTATGAAATTTAAATACAAGGTTTATGACCACAAAAGGAAGGTTGGGATTGATTTTGGGAGTTTTGGTCCCAACAGTTTAGAAATAAGGGGCCAAAAAAGGGCCCAAATAAGCATTTTTCTAGTTTCCAGACAATAACTTGTGGAATGGTGTATGGATCTCTCTGAAATTATACCACAAGTTTCCATACTATAAAGGGATGGTAAGAATTGGCTTTGGGGGTTATGGCTCAAACGGTTAAGGAATAAGGGGCAAAAAAGGGGGAAAAACAAGGGTTTCCTGGGACAATTACTTTAGCTTTCTTTCTTTATGTTGGTACTTTTTGCTATTTGTTTGCTAGTTCTAGTATGAAATATTTTTTAGCTGTTTCTAGAAACATCAAATACTGTGATTTAAATACATATAATATTATAATAGTGTACATCAAAGGGTTCAGTGGTAATAAATTTTTATACTCAGAATTGATTATTCTTTTTTGGGTTTTCTTTTTTGCATTAGAGTTACCTCCCTTACAATGGTTCCATACTACAAAGGAAAGACTGGGATTGAGTTTGATGGTTAATGCTTCAAGGGGGATACGAAAAGTTAGGGGGGGTTCCAATTTTTTTTAAGGGGTTCATATTATTTTCCCAAAATTTTTCGAATTTCTAATTTTTGAAAAGTTTCAAGAAGAAATCTTCAATTGCACAGTATTGCACATTAGTTTTTGTAAGATCTTTGACCACATTTGTTTTGTGTCAGAAACCTATATTATGTCAAAAATTTTATCACAATCCAAATTCAGATAGTATCAAGCTTGAATATTGTGTCCAAATTTGCCCCAACTGTTCAGGGTTCGACCTCTGTGTTCGTATCAGGCTGCGCTCAGCGAAACATTTTATTTCAATTGTTATTGTCAGAATAAAAAATGTTATTAATATTATTATACGGGGTGTAAAACTGAACAGCCAAAACAGTATCGTGTGTATATAGGGCTTTCACGGTTGAAAAAATGTATTTGTCCTATTAGAATTAAAATAATTCATGGCAGCCATAGAATTTCTTAATTATATTGGCTGTCATGTTTTGATTGACAAACGATCGCCTTATAATTTTTTTTATATATCAATATGCAACTAAAGTTAAAATATCATATATTCACTGAAAATACAAATACAGAGTCCTGAATATTGTTGCTTCGGTTTTGTTGGACAAATCAATATACTGTTAATTTAGAAATTATTGTGATGTTTTTATTAATGGGAAAAATGCAACAGTATCAGGTTTGCAATAAGAAAAACTGGCATTCATAATTTTAGTTAGTGATTTTCCCTCAAGAAATGTATGCAATCGCATTGAGATTTGTTATTTGATTATGGCCAACCAATATGGCAACTATATTGAAGCCTACAAGAAATTTGTAGAAAACTTTATTGAAAAATTGTGAATCAGCTGATTCCAAACAAAGTAGTTGTGTTCTGAGAAATTACTTTATGCCAGTCAATATTGCCTCTAGGGTAATTACTTGTTTGGAAATTGGGTGATCCTCGACACATAAGACATCCTGTTAAAAGATAGATGCAGTCTCATTTTGACCTCTAGTTTAATTGTTACATCACCACAAATTAACCATTAACCAGAACTTACAGTAGAAATGTATGTTAGTATTGTAGTAACTTAACATTATAAGTTAATAGATTTGTCTGCAAAACAGGATGTTAAATGTTATAATGTGATATTACCTGGGACCAATCAAATGTTACCACAAGGATCTTTAAGTGTAAGTGCTCAGCTTTTTATCAAGATTCTGTTTCTAAGAGTGTTTTTGAGATCTGATGCAGTTGCCTTCACTTGGAATATTTTGAATGTGATATATTTGCAGATTTTAGCATGTATCTACCAAATAAGAATGCAATTGTATTTCTTCTTACTGATATTTCTTGTTACCTGCTAATAACTAATTTACAATATTGCACATTTGATGTAGAGGGTGTTGCCACAAATTTATTAAATAGCTTTTGCATTTGAGAGATTAATCATGTGTTAATAAGCATTATATACTGTCATTACTGTAGAAACATTTAATTCTGTTGAGGTAAAATTAGTCCATCCACCGTGCAGCCTCTTCTGTTTGCCGATAATTTTAAATTTTACAACTCATTGTATAAGGAAAATATTTGTCAAAGTTTTTTTCGCTTCAATGAAAGGGAATGATCAGTTCATAAAAATGAAAATGCAGGTCATGACCTGCATTGAAGAAGAAAATCTCAGGTCATAACGCGTACAAACTTTTTTCCTGCTGAATTTAAGCATTTAGGGGACATTTCTTTATATTTTAAATCAAACAGTTTCCAAAATATGTTTACATAGTTAACTGAAAATATTTTAAAACTTTTAATTTTATTTTTTCATTGCATAATAAGCCAATGATATATTAATTTGTTATACTTTGTCATTTCAAGTCAAGCCTTACCCCCTCTTCTTGTTTCATCAATTCCCAAGCTACTTGTTTCACAGTATGTATCGTAATGTTGATATTAAAATATAATAAAAAAATTAAGCATTTAAAGGAAGTAGAGATAAAAAAATTCATTTTCAAAATAATTTTTTAATTGTTCTAAGGTAGAAAAATAAAAGAAAGTAATATTCTGATATGTATTTGCATTCAATTTGTTATAGATTTAATCTTTTTACAAAAAAAAAACACATAAAATTAAGGAGTATATTGTGAAAGGTGACAAAAAAGGGGAAGTAACTCGAATTTATTGTCAAACAACTTTGAAATAGACAAATTATTTATGACCATAAGCTAAGGTAATTGGTGTTAATTAACAGTGTGTTTGACACCAAAGCTGTCAAGTGAAGCCATGCACTTACTGGGTCACTTAATTTGACAGTTAACACAGCTAGTTGAACTTCCTGTCCAGGAAAAATCACGAATTTGCCGGTATTTCAAAGGAAAATCACTGATGAAATCAGTCTAAAGGCTCTACAATCCTGTTGAAAACTGGTCATTTTCCAAAACCCGTGTATGGGGTGAGATTCTCGGGTGTCACCCGCAGTATACGGTTAGTTGACAGGTATGTCAGTTACCTCAATCAATTGCATGCAACGATGGAGCTCCAGACCAGGTATTGGTCTAGTTAAGTTATGCCCCTCCTTTTAACTTAGAAATTTTTGAAGAACAGACCTTGTCATCAAAACTTCTCCACTATGGTTTATCCTATCTACAAGAATCTTTGTACATTGTTGGATCCTAATATGCAGATGTAGGATGTTCTTTTCCATTCAGTTTTTTTAGTTATTCATTTTGTTTAGTTTATCCAGAATTTTGCCAGATTTTGGCCCTTTTCAGAACAAACTTGTCAGTCATGTCAAGTTCTACATGTTTCATCTAATTTAAACTAAACTTGGTAAACATGTATTATTAAATCTAATACACAGATGTGGATGTTGGTATGAAGCTCCAGTCCATTGAGTCTTTGGGCGTAGAAAATATATTCCCCAAAAGTTCACATATCTTGTATTCTTTTCAAACTCCCACATATTGGAAAATGTCTTTATAATCTTGTCTCTTATAACTCTGTTCTCTGAAATGATACCTGCAGTCTTATTTAGTCTCCTCAAAGATCGTTCATTTTATCTACTGTAAATTCAGAAATTATTGCGAGGTTTTTATTAATGCGAATAATATTGCGACTGAAAAAGTATCGCAATAATAAGAACCCGCATTTTGATATCTGATACATATAACTGTATTCAGAATTTCGTGAAATTTTAATAATAAATCTCGCATTTTAGTCCATTCTTCGAAATTAGCAAAAATAAGTGCACGCAATAATTTCTGAATTTACAGTATATGAAATTTAGTATATTGTAAGATCCAGATCTAAATTTATATTATCAAGTTCTTTGTTTCCCTGTATTTGAGTCACTAGCATACTCAGTCAATCCAGGATGTGGGGATATATTAGTTCAGTTTAGTGGACAGTTCTAGTTTCTCTTGAGCAAGACGTGATATATATATATATTGCGGTATACCATCTTTTCTGCAAGTTTATTGTTTTCTGTTTTGTTTTAAATTAATAGTTAAGATCCATTTTGTTACATCTAGTGATCCGTTTATTTGGCAATCGCCAATGGCAGTCAGCAGGGTTTAAGAACATCCGTTGTTTGACCTGCTAGTCAAATGCGTTTTGTTAAAATATACTTTTTCACCTTTTTGGTCTTTTTGAAAATGTTGTTTGTGCTGTATTTAGACCCCTCTACCAAGAAATTTGTTTTGCATGCACACGTTTAAAAATTGCAGTTTTTATACATGTGCATGCAAAACAAATTTCTTGGTAGAGGGGTCTAAATACAGTTATATATATATATATATATAACATAAAAATTCATGGAAAATAAATCCTCAACAAAATTATATGTTTTACAGTTATTTGATGAATGATCATAACAGTGATTTTATATTAAGATTTTGATTATTTTTATTAGACAAATTATTAAAACAGGCATTTTAGTTTTCATTATGTTGAACAAATAATTACAACAGTGTATTTAGATTTTGTTTTCATTATGTTTAGTAGCAATATAGTTAGATTAATATCAGTAATTATTACAACAGTGCTTTTCGATTTTGCCTTTTATGCTGTAGAATGCGAGACATAGGTTGCTAATCACGTGTTGGTGGCAAAGTAAACTATTTGTATAAGGCTTTGTATTTCGGAAAGTAAAGGATCTGGATACTTCATATCTTGCATATGTTCTGTCTTAGTTCTTGAAGCAAGAAAAGATTAATTTCACCTCCACAGAATCTGTCATATGCCTATTGTCCTTGAACTCATTTTCAAGGTTCAGCGGCTGCCTGAATTTCTCACTAATTATGAGTTGTAGGATAACTATATTTGGTGTATGGACTCCTTGCAAGGTCTACATGTTTATTAGGCAGAGTTCACCTGACCTTGACCTCATTTCATGGATATGTGATAAAGGTTAAGTTTTTCGTGAAAGTCTTTCACAGATACAGTATGAAATAAGTTAACTATGTATGTGGTATGAAATGATTATATGGTGTGCATTTCTGTCTGGCAAAGTTCATCTGACCTTGACCTATTGGTAATTTTTGTTTTTGAAAGCGAGACTTAGCGATTAGATTCCGTTGGTGGTGGCGTCAAACATTTAGGTTCAGTCTGTGGTTAAAGTTTTTTTTGGACATCAATAACTTTGTCAAACCTACATGGAATTAGATGAAATTTAGAAAGAAGCTTGTTTATGACCAAAATACAGTTTCCAGAGCAAAATTTTAAAAATATTTATTTTCATTTTTCCGTAATTTACTGATAAATGGACTTAGTTTTTTTTACATTTAACAAATAGATAGTCTGGGGTTAAAGTTTGTTACACATCAATTACTTTGTCAAACCTTCATAGAATTTTATGAAACTTTTTTATGATTAAGAGATAATGTCTGAAGCACACTTTTGAAAATTCCTTTTCATTTTCAGTATTTTTCTGATAGATGGACTTTTTTACAGTTAACATTTACTAACAGTCTGGGATTAAATTTTTTTGACATGATAAGTTTGTTAACCTCCATGGATTGTTATGAAACTTGGACAGAAGCTAATCTTCAAGACCAAGAAATAGCAATTTTACTGATAAATGGACTCACTTTTTAAGTCAACATTACACTTTTACACTGACAGCAGCAATCGCAGGCGAGACACAGGGTTCCGTGGAACCTCTTACAAATTTTTTGTTGTTAAGTCTTTTTTTCAGACACTATAAGCAATTATAATATAAGCTATATTTGGTGTATGGAATGATTGTTTATTGTTTATTGTACATGTCCATCTGGCAGGTAGTCTGAACGTACCCTCATTTTCATGGTTTATTGGTCAATGTTAAGTTTTAGTGGTTCTGTTTGTTTCTCATATATTTTAAGTAATAGGTTAACTTTATTTTGTGTATTGAATGAATGCAAGTTGAACATGTCCATCTGGCAGGATTCATCTGACCTTGACATCATTTTCATTGTTCACTGGTCAATGTTTAGTTTTCATTGTTGGCTCCTTTTCTGAGATACTATACACAATAGTTCAACTGTATTTGGTGTATGGTATGATTGTAAGGTGTACAGGTCTGTCTGGAAGGATTCATCTGAGTGCATTCGACTCCAATCTTAATTAACTAGGATTGTCAGTTATCCTACTAAAGGTCAGTGGTTTTACCTGGGCACTCCGGCTTCTTCCACCAATAAAAACTGACAGCCTCAAAATAGCACAATAGTGCTGATAGTGATGTTAATCACCAATCAATTAATTCAACATGAATTCAATCATGATCAGTTTAGCAGGTGAGGCATTTCAGCATGTGCATTCTAGTTAAGTTTAGTAACATATAGCTCAATGAATAATTTTTACAGTACTTTTAAAAGTTCTTGCTATTTTGTAAACAGTTTGTTAAATAATTGTAACTATGTGCTCTTAGGTCTTGCTTTTTTACTATGTTTAATAGCTGCAATATAATTTGATGAATGATTAGAATAATGCTTTGAGATTTTAATTTTTGTTGAACAATGTATGTAATAGCATGTTGCATTTTTCTTACTTAGCTAACAATTTATAAAACCCTACTTTTACTGATTCTGCACATATAATGTAAATAATGGGATCCTGCATTAGAAAAAAAAATGGTTCATTTACTTTGGAGCTTTCACATTGTTTCCACGTTAAATTTGATGATTTAATCAGTTTGAGGGGAATCATTAATGGTAAGTAAATGATATTTGATATGCATTTGTATTAGCATTGCACATGTCATTTCCATGGAGATTATTATGGTCCATTGACTTAAAACTTTTGTATAGTTTACATGTTAAAGTGTTACCATTTAAATTTCAATATTTGCAATATACTATCAACATAACACATATCTTTGTTTTTCTTGTTCAAGTTAGTGGTTATCCAATTGGTGGCTGCACTCTCCTACTTTTTCATTGTGTGCTATAGTTTGGAGACATATGGTCTAGGTAGGCAAAAAGAGAGGTTTGTGCGCGCTTAGAACTGTTTAACCCCACAACATCGTTTGTCTGTACCAAGATAGGCTATCTTGACTTTTTGCATTGTTATTTGTTTTTGTTTGAAAATCTATTTTTTTTCTGATGAGTTTGTGGTTGATGTGTTCTACTGTATTGTCCAGTACTGGTACGTTTGGTGGTTGATGTGTTCTATTGTATTGTCCAGTACATGTACTGGTATGTTTGGTAGTTCCTGTTATCCTTGTAATGTTTCATTGATATTTTGAAAGTAATATTAAATATTTAAACTGAGGCGTAAATATTTATCCTGCAATATGCCATTGAAAAAAAATATTGTAGGTCCTTTAGGGCTTTTTATGCATTTTTGATAAATTGTACATACCTTATTATCGACACCTGCTATTATATGGGGAACCAAATTGGTGATGATGATAAATTCAATTTCTGTTTCCAATACGAACACGGATGTATAATAAACCACTTTTACTAACAAATAGGAAACTTTCCATTTCAATGGAATACTAAAAAGGACAATAATGTATTTTTGAGAACAACTTATTGATTTGATAAGAATTTGATTGTGGGGAACTAGTTTTTTACCCCAACACTTATATTGCATTCACCTTGTCAGTCTGTCCATCTGTCCAACAAATATTTTTGTCACATTTTTCTTAGATACTACTGCTAAGCAGAACGATTCATATTTGGTCTGTATCTTGACAGTGAAGGTAATGTGTAAGCACTTTTCAGATCAGTCAGACACCTACTTCCTGTTTGCAGATACTTTTTATTTTCAATTTGTTGAAATTAGTCGATTATGAACATCAAAACTTTTCTCGAGTACCTCTGTACAGAATGACTTCATAGTTGGTCAGCAGCTTGACAGAGTTCTAACTTTGAATTACCGAGTTTGTATATATACTTTAAATAGCACAACAACTTGTGCATTCTTGTTGTACTTAATGCTGAGTGTTGAGCATTGTATTTAAGGTAAGAAGATCATACTGTATGTTTAAATATATCTCTGTTGTATCATCATTGCCTTGTATGTACAGATAGAAGGTGACGTGAAGTAACTTCATTTAGACATTATTCATCTGCTGCACATAACATAGCAATATCAATATATAGAGGTCACATGGTCTTATGACACTGACAAGTGCTCACATCCAATAGAAAGTTTTGAATATCCCATACTTTAAACACACATACTTTAAACTTTCTTTTTTTTTTAAAATATACTTTAAACTTTACACATGAAATCTACAGAAATATATTTAAAGCCAACAACAAAGTCTCAATTGACAAAAACATGAATAAACAGCAATATGTTTGTTTGCTCTTGTGTGGCATAAAGATTACTCTAGATATTATACATTTTACCATTTTACAGAAAGTTTTACTTTCCCTTAGAATTTTTACTTTGAAAGCTTACTGAAAATAACTGATTTAACATCAAGTGATTAAAATTTTTATTTTGTATTTTCCGAAGTCTGATGTTCATCAAACTCGTTCTCATGCAGGCATAGGTGGAGGAATGCAACGCACTTACATGCCAAGTGTGGCAAGTGCACCTCCTCCTCAGGTATTATGTGTGATCCCGAATAATCCATTAAACATTGGTATTTTTAATTAAATGTAATCCAAATTATTTATAAGAGAACAGGATTATATGCAATATTTTTCAATTGTATTCTACAGTGGGTAAAAAGTTATATTTATTTTTAGCTCAGCTGGCTCCAATGACTATCACCATTTCGGTTAGTGACATTATTTGATTGACAGCTTGTATAATCCTAAGGGCATTTCTGATCAAAAGTATGTCTGATTACCCAACCAGCCAACTAACAAGATCACAACTGTAATTTAAAGTACATGTACATGTATATCATTGGGCAGATTATTCCGGTCCATAGTTGCTTTGATGATAGACTTATTTAGTGTTCACATGCAGTGGTATGTTGCTCCAATCAGCATTGACTTTTTATTAACATTTACCCCCATTTTTGTCCCTGCGCAACGAGTTGCGGGGGACATAGAAATACCGGGCGTCTGTCTATCCATCCGTCTGTCCGGTCTTGTTAGCGCTATCACATGTACAATTCTGGCAGATTTTTATAAAACTCATATCATAGGTTAATATCAATGTTTTGGACGAGTTCAAAAATCAGTACCGATCAATTATTTTAAAAAGAGTTATGCCCCTTAGGAACATTAATTATATGGAAAATTGCATCGTTAGCACTCTCACATCTACAATTCTTGCCAGATTTTTATGAAACCTATATTGTAGGTTTATATCAGCAATGTCTCGGACAAATTCGAAAATCAGTGCCAATCAACTATTTTAAATAGAGTTATGCCCCTTAGAAACATTAATTATATGAAAAATTGCACCGTTAGCGCTCTCAACGAAAATCAGTGTCGATCAATTATTTTTAAAAGAGTTATGCCACTTGGAAACATCATTTATATATTGAAAATTGCATCTTAAGTGCTCTCATGTGTACAATTCTTGCCAGATTTTTATGAAACTTATATTGTAGGTTTATATCAGGGATGTCATGGATGAGTTGGAAAATCTGTGCTGATCAATTATTTTATAAAGAGTTATGCCCCTTGGAAATATTGATTATATGGAAAATTGCCTTGTGAGTGCTCTCATGTATACAATTCTTGCCAGATTTTTATGAAATTTGTATTATAGGTCTATATCATCAATGTTTTGGATGAGTTCAAAAATCTTTGCCAATCAATTATTTTTAAAAGAGTTATGCCCATTGGAGATATTAATTATATGGAAAATTGCATCGTTAGCGCTCTCGTATGTACAATTCTTGCCAGAATTTTATGAAATTTATATCATAGGTTTATATTGGCAATGTCTTTGACTCTTTTGAAAATAAGTGCTGATAAAAAATTGTTAATGAGTTATGCCCCTTGGAAATATTAGTTATATTGGAAATCACATTGAATTTGCTCTGAAGCATTCATTTCTCTAAGATATTTATCAACAGTTTTAAAGAACAAAAAAAAAAGTGTATTTTTTAGTTATTGCCCTTGATCCCTGGATAAAAAATGTGCAACGCGGGGGACATTGGTATGATGTTGTCATTGTCATTGTTTGAAGATGTTTGGTTTCCAGACAATAACTTGAATAAAAGTGTGTGGATCTCTATGAAATTGTACTACAAGGTTCCATACCACAAAAGGAAGGTTTGGATTGATTTTGGGGGTTATTGTCCTAACTGATTAGGAATTGAGGGCCAAAAACAAGCATTTTTCTTGTTTCAGGACAATAACTTGTGTATAATGTATGGATCTCTATGAAATTGTACCACCAAGTTCCATATATCAAAAGGAAGGTTGGGGTTGATTTTGGAGGCTATGGCCCAAACCGTTTAACAATTAGGGGTCTAAAAGGGGCATAAAAACAAGGGTTTCTGGTTTAGGAACAATAACTTGAGAATAAGTCTATGGATCTCTATGAAATTGTACCACAAGGTTCCATACTAAAAAAGGATGGTTGAGATTGATTTTGGGGGCTATGGCCCTAACCGTTTAGGAATTAGACCCAGAAAGGGACAAAAAACAATACTTTTCTAATACTTTGCATTAATTGCTTATTTCTTGACCAATTTCAATGGGGTTTTAATTCCGAATATTAAATTCTTGATGTTATTTAATATGGTGAATCTAACCATGTATTTAGATTATTAATTTTTGGCCCAGTTTCAAATTGGTCCACATTTAGGTCCAAAGGGTCCAAAGTTAAACTTAGTTTGATTTTAACAAAAATTAATTTCTTGGGGTTCTTTGATATGCTGAATCTAATAGATATAAGAAGATGTGGTATGAGTGCCAATGAGACAACTCTCCATCCAAGTCAAAATTTATAAAAGTAAACCATTATAGGTCAAAGTACGGTCTTCAACACGGAGCCTTGGCTCACACCGAACAGCAAGCTATAAAGGGCCCCAAAAATTACTAGTGTAAAACCATTCAAACGGGAAAACATGTATTTAGATTTTTGATTTTGGGCCCAGTTTTCAAGTTGGTCCAAATCAGGGTCCCAAATTAAACTGTTTGGTATAAAAAAAAATTGAATTCTAGGGGTTCTTTGATATGCTGAATCTAACCATGTATTTAGATTTTTGATATTGGACCATAATAGTTAAATGTCCACTTTTAAATTTTTAAGTTCATAGACCGCATTCATTCTGTGTCTAATGATTAATGATCACAATCCAAATTCAGAGCTGTATCAAGCTTGAATGTTGTGTCCATACTTGCCACAACTGTTCACGGTTCGATTCTCTGCGGTCGTATCAAGCTGCACTATGCCGAGCATTTTATTGACGTTTTTTTTTTACCTCAATTTTATTGGTCAATGACCTACGTTAGCATTTTCTACCTAGTTCAGTTTCTCAGTTACACCGATCTAGAAAATCATACATGTACATGTCCATATGAAAGGGTGAACCTGAACTTGACCCATGGATTTAAAAAAAAAAAAATGAGCAAACTCCATTTTTTAATCTTTTTATGCCCCCGCAACTGAAAGTTTGGGTGCATATTGATTTATCCTTGTCTGTCCGTCCTTCCGTCTGTCCATCCCATTGTGGGTATATAGCTATTCCAGATAACACCTCCTACAGTTTGAATGCTAGGAAGTTTTCACTTTGCTGGCTGTTTGTACATATATTGAAGGTGTGCATATGGTCATGGTTTTAATTTTTATTAATATTCGCTCTTTTGGGAGATAGTTGAACTTTGTCATTTTTATACGACCGCAAAAAAATTTTTGTGGTCGTATATTGGTATGACGTTGGCGTCGTCGTCGTCGTCTGGCGTCGTCCGAAGACACATTGGTTTTCGCACTCTAACTTAAGTTTAAGTGAATGGATCTCTATGAAATTTTACCACAAGGTTCAATACCACAAAAGGAAGGTTGGGATTGATTTTGGGGGTTATGGTACCAACAGTAAAGGAATTAGGGGCCAAAAATAAGTATTTTTGTAACTTCCAGACATAACTTGTGTGTTAGTGTATGGATCTCTCTGACATTGTACCACAAGGTTCCATATCACAAAAGGAATGCTGGGATTGATTTTGGGGGTAATTGCCTCAAAATATTAGGAATTAGGGGCCAAAAAAGGGCAAAAAATAAGCATTTTTGTAACTTCCAGACATAACTTGTGTTCAAGTGTATGGATCTCTCTAAAATTGTACTGCAAGGTACCATACCACAAAGGGAAGGCTGGGATTGATGATGGGGGTAATTGTCTCAATATTTTAGGAATTAGGGGCCAAAAAGGGGCAAAAAACAAGCATTTTTCTAGTTTCAGGACAATAACTTGTGTGTAAGTGTATGGATCTTTCTGATATTGTACTACAAGGTTCCATATCACAAAGGGAAAGCTGGGTTTGAGTTTGGGGGTAATTGCCCTAATTGTTTAGGAATTTGGGACCAAAAAGGGGCCAAAAAACACATTTTTCTAGTTTCCAGACAATAACTTGTGTTCAAGTGTATGGATCTCTCTGAAATTGTACTGCAAGGTACCATACCACAAAGGGAAGGCTGGGATTGAGTTTGAGGTGATGAATCATAAGGGGGTTCAAAAAATTGGGGGGGGGGGGATTTTTTTTTTTTTTTTCCTTTTTTTTCTTTTTTTCCTTTTTTTTTTCTTTTAAAATTTTCCATTTTAAGTTGGTTATTTCTGATTTATATTTAAAAGCAAATGATAATGATATGGTAGGAGATACACACCAAACAGGATGTGTAAATTATTATATAATAAGTATTGTGCAATAGCAAGAAATTTTCAATTGCACAGTATTGCACAATAGCAAGAAATCTTCAATTGCACAGTATTGCGCAATAGCAAGAAATCTTCAATTGCACAGTATTGCGCAATAGCAAGAAATATCCAATAGCACAATATTGCGCAATAGCAAGAAATTGTCAATTGTACAGTATTGCGCAATAGCAAGAAATATTTAATTGCACAGTATTGTGCAAAAGAAGATACTTCGTATAAATTGCTTATTTCTTGACCAATTTCAATGGGGTTTTATTCTTGAATTCTTGGGGTTCTTTAATATGCTGAATCTAACCGTGTATTTAGTTTTTGGATTTTGGGCCCCGTTTTTAAATTGGTCCACATTGAGGTCCAAAGGGTCCAAAATTAAACTTTGTTTGATTTCATCAAAAATTGAATTATTGGGGTTCTTTGATATGCCGAATCTAACCGTGTATTTAGATTCTTAATTTTTGGTTCCGTTTTCTAATTGGTCTACATTAAGGTCCAAAGGGTCCAAAATTAAACTTAGTTTGATTTTAACAGAAATTGAATTCTTAGGGTTCTTTGATATGCTGAATCTAAACATGTATTTAGATTTTTGATTATGGGCCCAGTTTTCAAGTTGGTCCAAATCGGGGTCCAAAATTAAACTTTGTTTGATTTCAACAAAAATTGAATATATAGGGTTCTTTGATATGCTGAATCTAACCATGTATTTAGATTTTTGATTTTTGGGCCCCGTTATCAACTTTGTCCACATTGAGGTCAAAAGGGTCCAAAATTAAACTTTGTTTGATTTCATCAAAAATTGAATTCTTGGGGTTCTTTGATATGCTGAATCTAACCATGTATTTAGATTTTGGATATTGGACCATAATAGGTGAATGTCCAATTTAGAATTTTTAAGTTCTTAGACCACATTCATTCTGTGTCAGAAACCTATGCTGTGTCAAATATTTAATCACAATCCAAATGCAAAGCTGTATCAAGCTTGAATGTTGTGTCCATACTTGCCCCAGCTGTTCAGGGTTCGACCTCTGCGGTCGTATCAAGCTGCGCCCTGCGGAGCATTTTATTGGAGTATATACTTGCATAAGTGGTGCATACTGTTTCTGGATAACTCCTCCTACAGTTTGAATGCTAGAAAGTTTTCACTTTGCTGGCTGTTTGTACATATATTGAAGGTGTGCATGTGGTCATGGTTTTAATTTTTATTAATATTCCTTCTTTTGGGAGATAGTTGAACTTTGTCATTTTTTGGAGTATTTACTTGCATAAGAGGTACGGGGGCATCACTTTGTCTAGTTAGATTTTGTAACTAAAGGCTTTCAAGCCAACCAAGGTAACCACTGGGGAATCAAAGGCAACTAATTTGGTCAGAACATGTAAAAATGATTTCTTTGTGCTATTGATTTGGCAAATTGATTAAATTACAGATCAAGTGTGCATGAAGCGTTGAGTAATTTGACCAGACCTACATTCAAAGTATATTTATTGTAGCCAGTTGAGCAATGTAGGCCCTGCGAGTATCTTATTGTAGAAGTGAAAGAGCATTCAATCTACATTTGGCTCTTATTTTTTATAATAATAGCATATACATCTTGTAATCATCAACATTCAAAGTCTCATTTCTCTATGAGAAAAATAATTAGAAAATATGATTTAAATATTGCATATTATCTGGAAGTTAGATTTTCAGTTGTCTATTATTTTTTTTCTGTAATTTATTTTCCATTTTGTTTCATTGTATAATTACCAGTTTCAAATCATCCTAAACATGTGTGGTAAATAAGATTAATGACAGCATGTAATTTAATAATTTGAGTTTTTTCATTACTTTACTCCCATCAGTTACAATGGTCATTGTGTGTTTATCAAGGGATTATGACTTCAAAGCCATCTGAATTGGTAAAATAAAATTTCCTTATGTGGTGATCCCAGTTCATTTTATTAAATGTATATTTATACATGTAAAGTTGCAAATTTTTAAGTTTTGCTGTAACAAGGTATTTTCAATTTTCATATAAAAATTAGGTGATGTGGTATGAATGCCAATGAGACCAAATATCATAAAATGTATATCTGCTGACTTTTAATTTTGAAGAGTCTTACATTCGATTCTCAGTAGCTTTGAGATGGAAAATTGTAGAAATGTGACCTATGGACATGTTTACTTTTTGTCTCACCTTGACGGTGTCTAAAAGCGAGACATAGGTATGCTGTTTCCGGTGGCGGCATCAACAATGTATTAGTTTGTGATTAGGTCTAGTTTATGGTGAACCACTAGTGGTAGGTCAATGATATTTGGTATGCAGTTGTATTAGCATTGGCTCATTTCATTTCCATGGAGATTATTTGGCCCTGCCCCCTCAATCATGGTCTATTGACTTTGAAACTTTGGCTTAGTTTAAATGTATTAGTTTGTGATTAGGTCAGTTTATGGGGAACCACTAGTGGTAGGTCAATGATATTTGGTATGCAGTTGTATAAGCATTGACACATCTCATTTCCATGGAGATTATTTGGCCCCGCCCCCTCAGTCATGGTCTATTGACTTTGAAACTTTGGCTTAGTTTACATACATGTATTAGTTTGTGATTAGGTCAGTTTAAGAGGAACCATAAGTGGTAGGCCAATGTTAATTGGTATGCAGTTGTATAAGCATAAGCACATCTCATTTCAATGGAGAATATTTAGCCCCGCCCCCTCAGGCATGGTCTATTGACTTTCTAACTTTTTCTTAGTTTACATGTATTAGTTTGTGATTAGATTAGTTTAAGATGAACTGCTAATGTTAAGTCAATGATATTTGGTATGCAAGTGTATTGGCATTTGCAAGTCTCATTTCCATGAAGATTATATATATATATAGCCCCATCCCCTCATCATGGTTCATTGACTTTGTTAATGTTAATGTTTGTGTTTAGGTTTGTTTAAAGGGAATGACTTATGATAAGTCAATGTTATTTGGTGTGCAGTTGTATTAGCATTGGCACATCTCATCTCCATGAAGATTGTTTAGCCGTGTACCTTCAGTCTTGGTTCATTGACTTTGACTATTTGCATAAATTGCATGTTAAAGTATTGCTATTTTAATTTCAACATTTGCATTATCAAAGTTACAAAAAAGGCGAGACATATCTCTGTGTTAACAGTTTATGTTTCAAATGCCATCATTAAACAACAAGTAAAAGGAGTTATGAAGTAAATGTATCTATATCTTGCATGAGCATGATGTATGACATGATGCAGGTTAGCAATAGCTACTAAAGTACAAAATTTCATAAATTTAGTTGGTTGTATTACTCCCATCCACTCCATTATGTGTTTACATTTTTATTTCAATTCATTCATACTTGTTTTCCAGATATTAGTAAGTGGTGGTAACTTCCCTGCTGCCATTCAATATTCAAAGAAATTTTATATGACCTTTATTCAGGCAAATTTATAAAAGGTCAAATACCTGTTAATTTGTCAGATTATTCTGCAAAGTAACCAACAGATATATATTTAATAAGTTCACAGTCTATTTTTTGAATGGCAAAGTATGTAATCCAAGATGTCAGGACAAAGTCAAATAAGTGGAGAAAATCTTTTGAATTTAGAGGATTGTCAGTTCATGTTTATACTGCTATATTGGAATGCAGACCAGTACCTGATTAAGTAGTTACTAATGTTATTAATAATATTTTTTTTGCATCAATATAGGATCGATATAGACCTAATCAGAAGAGGACAGTAAGTGAATGTCTTGATTGTTGCAGTGACTTGCATGTCCTTTGATTGTGTGTTTATTTCAGAAAATGAAAACTATTGTGAACACTTGAAAAGTTTCATAGAACTCTGCTATCAGAAAAAAATTAAGGATTATACACTTTCACTGGAATATATTATCTTTATCATTTGGAGGTTATTATCATATGCAATGCTACAAACAAAACAATAGAATTATAACTCCATAATGAACCAATGCTGTAGTGTTTACTTTTGGTAGAGACTCCTTGACAACACACATTGTGACCTCAAATTTAATTTACCACTTTTGTGATTTATTAATTAATTTTTGTATGTAAATTGTCCTGATGATGCCTGCCTGGCAGGCGAAGCATGTCAACCAGCTTAATAAAATTGCTGTTTGAGACTCTTTGAAGTGTTGTCAATTTTAATTATAAAACAATATAATTGTTAAGTAATACTCTGGACTTAGTTGTTTCTTGGCTAAGCACACTGCATTTAGAAGTAAGAGCAAAGACTGGTCGGCTAAGAGTCTCAATAATGTGTCCCGGTAGGGTGGCATATGTTCTTGCAGACTGGTACCTTGTGAACTAGTATGTTAAAAATTCGGCATATTGTTTCAGTCTAGTTTTTTGTCTCGCCTGAGAGGAAAGTCACAGAATGCAAGACATAGGTATTACAATCCAGCTGAAGCAGCGATAACTTAAGCTATTGGTTTAAAGCATTATATTTCAGAAGGTAAAACACCTGAATGCCTCATACCTTGTATGAAGATGCCTTATGTTACAAAGTTTCAATCTGTCATATGTCCATTGTCCTTGACCTCATTTTCATGGTTCAGCAACTGCTTGATAACATTTTGTTTTTTCTCACTTATTATGAGTAAAAGAAAAACTATATTTGGTATATGGGTTCCTTGCAAGATCTGCATGTCCGTCAGACAGAGTTCACCTAACCTTCACCTTATTCATGGATCATTGGTCTTGGTTTACATGGTCAAGTCTGTATCTCAGATACTATAAGCATTATCTTAGGTCAACTATATCTTATGTATGTAATGATTGTAACATGTACATGTCTGACTGGCAGGTTTCATCTGACCTTGACCTCATTTTCATGGTTCATAGGTCAATGTTATTTTTTTCTGATTTGGTCTATTTGTCAGATAAAGTAAGTAATATGTCAACTATTTGGTGTGTAGAATGATTGTAACGAGTATATGTCTGTCTGGCAGGATTCATCTGACCTTGACCTCATTTTCATGGTTCATTGGTCAATGTTAAGTGTTTATGGTTTTGTCTGTTTTTCAGATACTGTAAGCAATAGGTCAACTATATTTGTTGTCAGATACTGTAAGCAATAGGTCAACTATATGTTGTATGGGATGATTGCATGGTGTACATGTTGTCTGGCATGGTTCATCTGACCTTGACCTCATTTTCATGGTTCAACGTCATGTTCAATTTTCGTAATTTGGTCTGTTTTTCAGAAACATAACCTATAGGTTAACTATATTTGGTGTATGGTATGATTGAAACATAACCTATAGGTTAACTATATTTGGTGTATGGTATGATTGAAAGGTGTAAATGTTTGTCTGTCATGGTTCATCTGACGTTGACCTGATTTACAATGATCATTGATTATGTTAATTTTATTTGAAACTTATAGTAAAACCCTCATATTACACACTATCAATGTGAATTCAATCATGATAAGTAAAGCAGGCGAGACATACCAGTGTTTGCAGTCATGTTTATAGAATTGAGCATTTTTATTCAGTATAATATAGTCGAGACTTAAGTGTTTAATCCTTAATGATAATTTTGAAGCATCATTGGCAAAGTGTTCATCATAGATTTCAACAGGTGTTTTTAAGAAGTGTTTTCTTCTAACCACTACAAAGAATATTTACTGTGAGTGAGCATGTGTGATATAACTTTTGATTGTCTCTTGCATCTTCAACTTAGTCCCTAATCTGTGTACTAGAGTATTTTGCTATTCCTCTGTTTCAATCTATAAAAGAATAAATCAAATATCAGAGCTAGAACTAAACAGTACTTTCTCCTATTAGAATTCTTGTGTATTTGTATTTGTGTAAGCAATACTACATATTCAGAAATAATTGGGGGCATTTATTATTGCAATTGTTGATAAACATTACAATAGCATAGTCAGTTTGTTTTCGACTTGTATAAAGGCATATTATGATCATAGATTAAAAAAAGTTTTGTAATTAAATTTTAGTTACTTGAATAAACCCAAATGCAATGTTTTACCTTCTTGGGATTGCTTGTCCCTTATTTAAATGACACTTGACCTCTGGACTCTGGGGCCTATCTTTCATTGAAAAGAAACATATTCATATATTTAGGTCATATGTGGTGTATAATTGAATAATCAGTAATAAGTAAATTTTGTTCAAGTGAACAGACTTTGACCTAGTTTGTATTTACCTCATCTGGCCAAATCCCAGTATGAGCTTTTGCTATCCATTCTGTGGTCCACAACTATTTCAAATACCTTCTCTAATATTACAGAATTAATTTAAAGAAAACTTCACATGGTTGATCCTTAGGGTATCTCGATTAAAGGTTGTTAATTTTATTTTGGTCCACCAATCAAAATAGCTGCAATGATTAAAAATAGAACATACAATAAAATGCAGGCAGTTAATATCATAAAAGATCCAAAAATCTAAAATCAAGATTTATCTACTCTCTTTTTGTCCAAAATCATCATATAATACCTTAAAGGAGTTATTGCCCTATAATAAAATTGAGAATGGAAATGGTGAATGTGTCAAAGAGACAACAACCCGACCATAGAACAGACAACAGCAGAAGGTCACCAACAGGTCTTCAATGCAGCGAGAAATTCCTGCACCCGGAGGCGTCCTTCAGCTGGCCCCTTAACAAATATATATACTAGTTCAGTGATAATGAACGCCATACTAAACTCCAAATTGTACACAAGAAACTAAAATTTTTTTTTTATCAAATTAATAATTATGGAAATTAACTTGAAAACTATGATAGATGGACACAAACTGTAAACAGAAAAAATGATCAGCAGTACAAGATCTACAAATATAAATTGAACCTCTCATGGGATTTAGTTGCCCATAAATGATGATTTTGACAAAGTTAAGCATTTCTGGTTATTGTCTTAAAAACTAAAATAGAAAGGCAAAAACTGTAAACAGTAAAACTTATCAGCAATTTTTATGTTGGAGTTATTGCCCTTAAATGACGATTTTGGTCACATTTTAGTATTTTATCTTGGAAACTATAGTTGGTAGACAGAAACTGTAAACAACAACATGCAAGGTCTTCAAGATACCAATATAATTAAACTTTCAATCAACTCCTTATGGGAATTTCTGCCCTGAAATATTATTTTTTTTACCATTTTTATACGACCGCAAAAAAATTTTGTGGTCGTATATTGGTATGACGTTGGCGTCGTCGTCGTCGTCGTCCGGCGTCGTCGACCGAATACACATTGGTTTTCGCACTCTAACTTTAGTTTAAGTGAATGGATCTTTTTGAAATTTGACCATAAGGTTAAATACCACAAAAGGAAGGTTGGCATTGATTTTGGGGGTTATGGTACCAACAGTTAAGGAAAAAGGGGCCAAAAATGAGCATTTTCTAGTTTCCAGACAATAACTGTGGAACGGTGTATGGATCTCTCTGAAATTATACTACAAGTTTCCATACCACAAAGGGATGGTTAGGATTTGCTTTGGGGGGTTATGGCTCAAACCGTTTAGGAATTAGGGGCAAAAAAGGGGGAAAAACAAGGTTGTCCTGGTTAATGGACAAATACTTTAGTACAAAACATAATTTAAAGCAGTGTAAGGGAGATAAATCAAATACATCATTGAAATTATCTCCCTTACACTGCTTTTAAATTATGTATAAAGTAATGGTTAATGAACAATAAAGATAATCTAAAACAGGGTAAGGGAGGTAATCCAAATACAATGTTTTGGTTACTTCCCTTACACTGCTTTTAAATTATGTTTAAAGAAATGCATATTTATAAAGGAAGACCAGTAAAAATATCTGCAAATGTTGCATCTTTTTTTTTTACAAAAAAATCCATATGAAAGATTTGACACTATATTTTTATTAATTCTATTATAAAATAGATTAAGTTAGCACTATGGTAAATTTAAATGGGTAATTATGGTTGCCAACTCCATTGGAAATTTGAATTGAGATTATGACCATATCTTGAGGGAAAGAATTTTTTTGGGGGAAAAAGGGGGGGGGGATAAAAAGAAATTATGGGGGGCCAATTTTTTCTCATTTCAGATTCAGAAATTAAAAAGAATTATTCTTCAAATATTATTTTTTTTTCAAATTTCAAATATTGAAAAATTTCAAGAAGTAATCTTTAATTGCACAGTATGGCGCATTAGATTTGTAAAATCTTTGATCACATTTATTTATTTGTTATGCCGAATCTAACAGTGTATTTAGATTTTTAATTTTGGGTCCAGTTTTCAAATTGGTCTACATTAAGGTCCAAAGGGTCCAAAATTAAACTTTGTTTGATTTTAGCAAAAATTGAATATATGAGGTTCTTTGATATGCTGAATCTAAACATGTATTTTGATTTTTGGCCCAGTTTTCAAGTTGGTCCAAATTGGGGTCCAAAATAAAACTTTGTTTGATTTCAACAAAAATTGAATATATGGGGTTCTTTGATATGCTGAATCTAACCATGTATTTAGATTTTTTATTTGTGGACCCCGTTATCAAATTGGTTCATATTGAGGTCAAAAGGGTCCAAAATTAAACTTTGTTTGATTTCATCTAAAATTGAATTATTGGGGTTCTTTGATATTCCGAATCTAACCGTGTATTTAGATTTTTAATTTTGGGTCCTGTTTTTTAAATTGGTCTACATTAAGGTCCAAAGGGTCCAAAATTACCGTTCCTACTCGCTTATTAGTCGGAAAATTGGGAGTAAAATTCATAATCTAGAGAGGG